AAAGAAAGGGGGTTAAAAAAAAATCCTGGATTGTTCAAGGATGATTCATGGAGCAGCACAATGGATTTATTATAATCGCTGGTGCCTATTAGAAAAGTTGCAAACAAACCCTCGCAGCCACAGCCGGGGAAGGAAATCATTATTAATCGAACCAAGAAGTGAGATTACCCACAGAGAACCTGTACAGCCTTTGTTTGAACCAATGAAATCATTTCATTCTGAGCTCGGAGCAGGTAATTACAGTGTGATTTAAAAACCATGAATAGGAAATGTGCACACCAGCAGCCAGGGTTCTTGCTGACAATTTCTCTTAACGCTTCAAAGCAGAACAACACGCAAAACTTGTTATTCAGAACTATCAAAGCAAATATTAAATCTTCAGCCAGGCGAATCCAAAAATGTATTTTTAGAAGATGGTATAAAACTGTTCACGTTTCCAATGCAGGTGTAAAACATCAACGTCACGGTAAATTTTGTGCCTTAAACTTATTTAGCTTCGACTAGCACAAAGGTGACTCTAAATCAGGTCATTTACCAATAAAGAACTAAAATTGATGTGGAAGGTGAGAGTCATCCCCAAAAACATACTCCTTGCAAAATCTTCCAAGATCTTTGCTTAAAAGTTTGCCATTCAAAGCAGGGTAAGTTTTATTCCTTTTGGATTTTAATATCTAAATTTCTTCAGGGGCACGTCCATAATGAAAACAGAACAGGGCCTAATACGGAACCTTGAGGTACCTCATAATTAAACGGCCACAGTACTTTGGTTTTATTTCACTGTTTTAATGTTTTATTGAAGTTCATTTTTATGCTGAATTATTGATCATGTACCATATAAGGCACTTTTGTTTCTGTGGTTGTTTTTAAACACATAATAGACATTAGCTTTGACGCGACCTAAATTTGTGTTGCACACCACAAGTACGTTTAAAATTTAAAAAGGAATGTTTCTGCTAATTTAAAAAAACTTATTAATTTTCATAACATTCTAAACAAACCTGAGGGTAAACTAGTCCTAGTCCTTGATTTTGTATATTTTATGAATGTATAGACTATATTCTTTTTGGCCCCGGTATGTCAGATGCATTAAGAGAAGGCAGTGTATATGAGTGCATGCTGTTGTGGGGGCTGTAATTACACTCTGTCTTGAGGAATCTATTATTAAGCACCTACATTTTTATGCGTATTGCAAACATAAAGCTTGTAAAGTCAGCCTAGACAAAAGCAGACCATCAAGCTCACTTTAAGTTTTAGCAAGATGTTGGTGAATGACGAATAACATACAGTTTATGTAACCACCTGGAGTCAAATTGGTTTTCCATTAATTCTCTAAGAGGGTACGAACAGTGCGTTTATTGTGAATACTTTGTTGTTGAGTTTAAAATTATATTTGCCTTTTGCTCTAATTTATAGTTTACCCCTGCATCTACAAATGCAAGTGAACATTTGACATGAGGAACATCGCTGTCATTCTTGGACATGCACACTAACTGGAACAAGACAAAAACAGAGTAAAATTCTAAATCTGAGCCACATCCTGAAAAGAAAAAGGACACTTTTAATATTTAATCAGCACATTTCAGGAGATATGAGTTGATAAAGAGGGGCACTACTGCGCTTATATGTTTAAAAGGAACTCATTTGTATCTGGTTTGTAGTTCACCGAACCCCTTTCGACAGTCAGCACCACTCTGGTTCTGCTGTGGCCTTGCTGTAATAAAACACCACACCCTCACACATATCTGAGAAACAAGTTCACGTACTGTAATCCAACGTATCTTTGAATGAAAACAAAACTCTTCACAAGTTATGCCCTGCAAACGCGGAGTACATTGGATTTATTTCAGCGGTTCTACTTGAAGCCAGGATACGGTTTCTGATCATAATCGTGGCTTGTAGCCAAAAACTCTGGAGGCTGTTTCAAAGAGTTCTCTAATGGGCGAAGCAGCTTCGAATGTTTTTGTAAGAAATCCTGCCCTGAAGTGAGTAGTATAAATTATCGAGCTGGCACCCTGCTGAAAGATCAACCCTCCTTTTATTTTACATTTGCAGTCAAGTCAAAAATGTGGATTTGCTTGAAGGATTTTTGATTGACACTTTTGTGTTGGTCTATTAAACAACAAACAAAAGATATTTAACATATGAACATAGCTAAAAACTGGTTGTGGATTAAATTATGATTAGCAATCTTTGCTATTTTTCATGTGACAAAAGGAAATCTGCTTCCCAACTCTGTTTTTGTTGTTGTTGTACTGATTTACCCAGCTTTTCATGAGGATGTTACACGTGATTCTAATTTTAAAAATAACTCATCCTTCTCTAGCAAGAGAAGACCAAAATACTAACGCAGCAGTACACAACCTGCACTAATCAGTAAAAGCTACGAGAATGAGTCGCTCTGTAACTATTATCTGTTAATAGAAGATAGTGTGTGGCAATAAAGCTGAAACTCCCACAAGGCTCTAAGGATGTGATGGAGCACAGATTAGTGTTTGGACAGAACATTAATTGCATTCCTGCAGCAGAGACGCGTGACACAAAACTGTTTTTGAACCAGATACAAAGTTTTGTTGTTCTGTGGCAAGCTAAGGATGATTGTCAATATTTGTTTCTGAATATCTTGACTGAGGTGAGACGTGTTCTTTAATGAGAGCACACTTTTTTATTCATTTCTATAATGATCAGCAATTATCACAAGAGTAAAGGAATAATGACTAAAATTTCCCAAATAGATACATACATACATACAAAAGCTAGGAAGCGTTCACGA